AAACAATCAAAGCGGGTTGGCTGTTTGGTAAGGGGTCGCTGCCACGTGTGTGGGGCGCGGGAAGTGAGGCTGTGGGCGTACTAGAAGTTGGCGTGAGTAAACAATGAATTACGGAATCATGAAAGCAAATTGACTTTAATGCAAAAATCAAATATTTACACAGCGCGAAGGAAAAACTCACTGGCGGAGGGTGAGAATGTGGATTGCAATTGCAGTCTCCAGCAAATAGACAGGGAGAGGGAGAGGGAGATGGAGATGGAGACAAACAAATGAAAGAACGAACCGAATCGCAATGAAACGCATACATATTGAGGTTATGCTAGGACGTTCTGTTGTTTCCGCTTCCACGATTTCTTCTAAAAATGCTCGTTTCGGCACTTAAATCCCTCACACACAGGCAAACAGCCACACTCTGGCCAACACATGCATGTGTCATGGACCGGGGCCGTCAGTGGGTTAAGTGTGGGGTCAGCTTTTGTGCGGCGCATTGGTCTGTGGCGCATCCGGGCTTCGAGTGTACGTTATTAGCTGCTGCTAGGGAAATGGGGGGGAGAATTTTACGATTTCATTCATTTTTGTGGCTGCCATTTGACGCCGCAAAATATGTAACAAAATTTTATTTCCACCCGAAATAGAAGTCCGCGTCCGGCACTCGCCTTGGAATAAAACTTAAATTATTGAAACTATTATGAAGCAAGGCAGCTTGGGGATCAAGAGCGACGCCCAAGAATTTCTCAATTAAGCAACAAACCAGAGAGCAAAGCACAAAACGTAATAAAGCACGGACCGGACAGTACAGTGAAAAGTGGAACGGAGTGGAACCAAATTGGGAGAGTGGTGATACAAGAGGAGAACACAAATCTGAAAACCATAAAAGTGTCGCTTTCAATTGTTCCCCCCAAGCCCAATCGAGCCAACAAGTGAAATTGAAACGTTCAATGGAGAGGATAGTACAGGATGGATATAGTGTGCCGAGTGCTGGGAAACTTTGTGGAGATGGAGCACCGTGTGGCTGAATTTTTAGAGGGTGCTCCAGACACCAACACACACAAATTGATGATGATGTAGTGAGTGAGTGAGAGTTGGGAGTGCGAATGTGTGACAGGATGTGTATCGAGATTTGTTGTGCCTTCAATCGACTTTGTGCAGAGGTTTGTGCTGCTGAATTTTCATCCATTTACTAGTAAAATGAGTAGAGTATTCAGAATGCAGCGTAACAGACTCCAGCCTAGCCTCATGTCAACGTTACTTTATTACATTCTGGCTGAGAATGATGCCGGCGATGATTGACACCCCCGCCCGACTGGCAATAAATTTTTAATTTTCAATGCTTCCACGATGGACCGACTGATGGTCTGACGCGTTCCTTCGTTTGCCTGCGAGCTTGTTAAATTCAAATTAGAACGATGCTGGCGATGCTCCTGCATGCTCCATGCTCCAGGCTCCATGCTGACAGGAGAAGATAAATGACAAGAGGACTGCGATCGCAACAAATTAACCTTGTTACGAGGGAACTACTACGAACAGTAGAGAGAAAAAAAACGCCAGTCGAGACATAACTGGTGTGGGAGGACAACAGTTACAAGTGTATGTAATTTTTTATCGTCTCCACTTCCACTTCCGGCTCCGACTTGTGACTTTCTGACTCTGAGCGAGGTCTTCCACCGACTGACTGACTTATGAATGGCGTGTGGCAGAAAGCTGAGGCAAGACAAAGAGAGGGGTTTGGCTGGTGCCACAGCCACTGCTAGTCGATAAATCAGTTTGTGTATCAAATTGAATACACGAGCGTGCACTTGACACCCGCACAGGCACATTTATCAGACAGTCAGTCAGTCAGCCATTCCTTCCTCCAAGTCTTACAATTCGCTGAAAAACAACTTGAACCTTAACTCCGGGCTCGAGTGCAGAAAGCCACAAAATTTTAATCTCAACTAAAAGCGGGAAAAACAGACAAACACAAAAAACTAGAAAACATCGAGGGGCGAGCATTATAAATTATTCATTACAAAACGCAACCGCGACACGCCCACTGCCCACTGCCGCCAGTCCCCAGCCCCACTATTCGTGGGTCTTCGTTTGCATCCACAGACCCCACCCAAAGGCTGCCCTGCCCGCCACTGACGGCTGCTCGTTTGCACCTAATTTGATTTTTAGTTGCTCTGCCCTCGGTCCGGACTGGCTGTGGTTGCCTCTTTGGCATTCTCTTCGCTTTGGCACCCAGCACCACGGGTATATGCCATGTCCCTTGGCGAGTGTCCACAGGGTATCCTTCATTCGATAAACACACATGACATGAGCTGCAGCTGGCAGGCATCCTCGGCCAACGCTTTATTTGCCACGATTCAGCTCTGCTCAGCTCAGCTCAGCTCAGCTCGGCTCGGCTTTCTTTTCATTCATTCCAGTGGCGCTGTGCTGGTCCCTGTCGAAAAAATGTCTGTTATGTGGCTACAGAATTCTGCAGTAATTAATGGCAACTGTTTGATTAAAAAATTCCATAGCTCCATGGATATTCCCTATGTGTGTCTCTGCTTTTTGTGTAGTTTTAGTACCCATCCTCGGCTGGAATCTCATCCTTAAATCCATGCAAATTCCAGAGTTCGGTTGGCACAGCTTCAAGCTGTGCAACCTGCTAAAATAATTTGCCATCAGCTCAGCTTAGTGGTTGTTGTCTGCTTCGCATTGAAATGGCAACAAATCGAAATATCGGTGAGCAAAATGTCATGTTTTGGGCAAGCAAAAAGACGCCAACAATGGCATCGCCGGAGGTGTCGAGAGTGGAAATTGTAGCACCCAGAATTAGACGCCACAGATCCTGCACGATTGCCATATGTCAGTGGTTCATTTACAGCCTCATAAGCGTCTGTCTGGTGAGTTTTGGCAGCCCTAAGGGTGGAGTTTCTTCTTCTACGAGTGCTATCCTCAGGCCCTCAACGTCTCAGACATGTTCATCTATGCCAAAACCATCTCGAAGGTGAGTGGCTGTGGCCGTTGCATCTTTCTGCACTATCAGATTATCCTCATGGTTGTGGTGGTGCTGGTCATGTTTCTGCTGTGTGTGGTGGCTGTGGTGGTGCTTAAGCAGAGCATATATGGACTGAGAATTGTGAGTGGTTTGGTGGTCCAAAGATCTTCACAGAATAATCTTTCTTTCTTTGCAGTTTGTAATGCTGCTGTTCCTGGCCACCTGGCTGCAAATGATGATGATTGTGCTGCTGACCCATGAGTATCCGCTTGTTCACGACATTGAAATCATTTGGAAGCGCCACAAAAGTTTGGATTATTACGAGAGAAATGTGAGACTGGTCTTCCTCCTCTTTAGTCCTTTCCTTCTGCAACTTTCCTCTTGCAGTTTGAATGCTGCGGCTTGACGGGACCCAATGACTATGTCTTCAGCAGTGACCAGGTGCCCAGCAGCTGCTTTAAGGATAACAGCATGATGACCCGCGATCTGTACAAGTCTGGCTGTGCCACCAAGAAGAGCCACCCCTCGGACCTGGCCATCACCGAGCTGGTAACAATTTTGTGTCAGGTGAGCTAAGGCATCACAAGTCGTACGTTATCCAAGCCTGCCTTTGCAGTACCTTCTGATTGTGGTCCTGCTCTGCCACAAGAAATATCTGAAGCGCAATCTGGTGCCCGTTCGCTCCCTCAGAACATTGAATGCCGCGCGTCTGCATCTCACATCGTAAAGGCAAAATTGCATTTGAATTGGGTTGGGGGATTCGTTTTTGGACTGACAAATTGGATTGAATATCTCATATTTCACCAGCTGCAATCAATAACGATAAACACTAGAGTCTGGCCACTTGAGTCGCCAGCCGAATGGGATTCAATGTCCAGTGTCCGGGCATGCATATGGATGAGCCAATAAAAAAATCAACAAAGCATGTCCAGGCGATTGAAAAAGTATTGCCAGGGATTTGTAAATGGACACGAAGACACTGAGACACGGAAACAGACACAGATTGAGCTCGACAATCGCAACAATATGCAAATGCAGCAAAGCGGCAACAAATATTCAAGGACAAAGCAACACACAACCCATTCCCAACCCATTCCCAACCCATTCCCATGCCCATTTCCACTCCTTTCCCACGCGCGATTGTGAGTTTATTTCTCTCTTTTTCTCGTTCTCTCTTTTATGTTTCGTACATAAATTGTTTCGTTGTCAACATTAAATTCTGTTGCGTCGTCGCCGTTGGAGAAAACAATTTTGCAGCATTTGAAAATCCATAAAATATGCATACAAAATTGTCCAACGGAACGGACCAACTTTATGGCTAAATAGTTTGCTCCGGCCCACATCGTTAATGCCATTTTTTATACATCCACACTCCTCCGTATGGCTGGGCGTTTGGGCGTAAACTTTTTTCGCCATAACCCCAGCAACAACAACAGCACGCTGGTCAAGCTGCTGAGAGCGGGAGCCCATGGAAAGTTTATGGCGGCAAAGGCAAGGACCAAAGGGTCATGTGGCTCATTAAACTTTGGCCAACAATTTTTTGCCAGCACCCCCGCAGCATCCACCATGGCCACAAAGACAAACAGAAAGTTTTGCACTAAATATTTGGACGAACAAAGGGAGAAGTGCAGTGTGTGAGAGGCCCCCACAGTGCTCAGAGAATTGTGGCTCGGAATTACTTGGCACACATACGCTCCATTAAATTGTAGACAAATGTCTGGACAGGGGTAAGGGAAAGTGAAATGGAAAGTGCGAAAAGAGTTACACACTGAAGGTGCAAGTCGAGTTTTAAATTGTGTTCTAAAAAGGATTCAGAGTAACTCCCCCCCCCCCCCCCCCCCCCCCCCCCCCTGGCTAAAAGGTTTCTGCTGAAACGGGCACCCCTTGGACTCACATTGATTCGTTGGAAACATTTGAATTAGCGCGACAGCGACAGCGACATGTTGCTCGTTCCACGAACCTCCAACCCGTTCCACGTTTCCACCCATTCCCCAGTAATTAGCTAAAAAGCGAGCTCGTGTTTTTTTTTAGCCTTTTATTTAGTGTAAGAACAAATCAACAAAGTGTCAACGGGCAGCAGGGCAGAACTCTTCCGCTCTCCCGCTTAGTAGCCCCAGTGGGCGCCGAAGCCATCGAAGCTGGCGTGGGAGACGACAGCAGCGGGCGAGTACTTCACGAAGGCTGTGGGTGCTGCGGCAGCGTACACGGGAGCAGGAGCGGAGTACACATGAGCGGGAGCAGCATAGACAGACTTGGTGACGACGGGAGCAGCTGCGTACACGGGAGCAGGAGCGGAGTACACAGTCTTGGCCAGCACGGGGGCGGGAGCGGAGTACACAGTCTTGGCATAGACTGGAGCTGGAGCTGGAGCGGCGGCATACACAGACTTGGTAATCACGGGAGCGGCAGAGTAGAGCGTCTTCGGGGTGTACACATTGTTGGTGGTGCGAGAGTCCGACTTGGTGACGCTCGAGTAGGGTGTGACCACATTCTTGGAGTACGTGGAGACAGTGCCGCCGAAGGAGCGGACCACATTCTGCTGTGTGGTGCCCACGGCATCGAAGTGGGGCTGTGCCAGCTTCGTCACCACGGGAACTGCAGCATAGGTGGTGGCTGGTGCCACGAAACCGGCGCTAGATGCACCCAACAAAGCGCAGAAGGACAACAGGACGTACTTGAATGCCATGGCTGGAGGAGTTTGGGAGTTTGCAAACTGGAAACTTTGAGTGATGTTGGAATAGAGCTGAAAGTTGCTACTGATGGCCAACTGCTGCGTTTTGGCAGTTTTTATAGCCACAGAAAACCCGACAAAAGCCTTCGAACCTATTGCCAAATTTCACGGCCAGCGAGTTGGCCCTCTGTGTGTGACTCCCTCTGTGTGTGTGTGTTTGTGTGTGTGACAGATTGACTTAGGCCTAAGCCGCTGCGACATGTTCGCATAGAGAGACAACCCAAAAACTGGTTCAATGGGTCGACAAATGACTGCGCGGAAACCAAACAACTGCCTTGCGCTCCCCGCCACTCCGCCTCTTTGCCGCTGTGCCACGGCCCCCTCTCGGAGTAAGCCGGAGGCCAGCTGCGTAACTCCTGCCACTGCCACAGAACTTCCACCTTTAGCTTGGAGTGTGGCACAAATTTTGAATACTATCATCAGCTCATAAATTTTCCCCGCAAACAGCCAAAAGAGAAAAAAAGAAACAACAGCGAAAAACTTTTATTTGCTCGGCGTATTTTTCCATTAAATTGAGTTCAACTCAAGCAGCAAATATGCGCCCCTGCCCCCGTGCCACCCCATCGATGGGGCAGGGCTGTTCCCCGACTTGTGTCAACTTTTGTATCAGTTGCCACAATTGCTGGGGCGGGCGTTGGCAGCGACTTGTTTATGATTTTTTCACGAAGGGAAAAGTGAAACGGGAAGGAGCAGTGGCTTAAAGGGAAAGTGAAGATGAAATAGCCAGCCAAAGATCTGTTCAGAATTGCTGATAGAAACTATATAAAAAGCTGCCAAAATCTACCAAAAACCAAGCACAATCTTTGCCAACTACTAAGAGATAACTCCAAGAAAGAGCATTCAACATTTCGGCGACACTTCGCTTTCTCTCTTCCGTGAAATTCTTTTTGTTTTGTTCTTTTTTTTTCGTGCAAGAAGTTTGGAGAATGAATTTTGCCAGCATCGCTGCTCACGGAGCTGCATGATGAATATTTATTGAAATTACCAAAGTTGACGCTGCCTGCCGCCAAATTGAATTGTGTTGCCAACTTGGGATGTGGCAGGACGACTCTTTGGGGCAGCCACGAGCTACGAGCCACAGGAGCTGCCTCTCCAGTGAGTGCCACAAATTGTGTGATTATTTTTGGCGCTACTTTTTGGCAAATTGTTATTCATTTTCACTCGAGGGCCCTGAACACACATCGCCCTCGCCCTCGCCCTCGCCCCGTCTCTAAGCCTAATTACCGCGTTTAATTTATGTGAGCAAATTGGCTGGCTTTTGCGCCAATCACTCTCAGCCGGCGGGGCGACAGACAGGTGAACCGACATCGCATCTCATTGTGGGCAGTTCAATTACCAATTTCCAATTTACCAATGGCCCGCTGGATAGGCACGCGTCCGACGCGTATATAAACCGCAACATTTTGCCCAAAACAGCATCAGTCGCAGCCCAACCAACCTGCAAACCACTTCTCCACAGACTCGTCTCTCACCAGTCACTGAACATCCCCTCCAACATGGCCTTCCGCTGCCTCATCACTCTGTGCGCCCTCGTGGCCTGCGCTCAAGCTGGACTCCTGGCCGTGGCCAATCCCTCCGTGGATGCTGTGGCCTCCACGCAGCAGAATGTGGTCCGCTCCTTTGCCGGCACCGTCTCCAGCTACTCCAAGGCTGTGGATACGCCCTACTCCAGCGTCCGCAAGAGCGACACTCGCATCCAGAATAATGTGTACACCCCAGCACTGGCCAAGACCACCTACGCCGCTCCGCTGTACACCCAGGCCACGCCCGTCGTTGCCAAGACCCTCGTCCAGGCTCCAGTTGTGCAGAAGACTGTGTATGCCCAGGCGGCTCCAGTTTACGCTGCTCACGCTCCAGTTGTGGCCAAGGCTGTGTACTCTGCTCCAGCTCCCGTCTATGCCAAGACTGTCTACTCCGCTCCCGCTCCAGTTGTGCAGAAGACAGTGTATGCCGCTCCCGCTCCAGTCTATGCCAAGACTGTGTACTCCGCTCCCGCTCCAGTTGTGCAGAAGACTGTGTACTCCGCTCCCGCTCAAGTCTACGCTGCTCCCGCTCCCGTCTACGCCAAGACTGTGTCCTATGCCGCTCCTCTGGCCACCACCAATGTGAACCACGGACCCTCGGCCACCACCTACACCCACAACGCACCCGCCTTGGGTGTGTCCAGCTATGGCAGCGCCCAGACCGTTCAGTACTCACCTGCCACCAGCGTCTCGCACATGAGCTTCGATGGATTCGGCACCCACTATGGTTTCTAGGCCAACTGTTCGGCGCACGCTGAGGTTGTTAAAGCTTCTTGTTCATTTTGTTGCCTGTTAATAAAACAAAGATCAATTGTTGCAAGTTAAACATGAGCAGAGCAGAGTCACCTTCCGGGCAACCGCAGCCAAGCCTCGGGCCTCAATCAGCGCAGATCCAACAATGGGCGAGCCCTCACCGGCCTCCTCGACCAAAATTATATCAGACTTTGGCAAACCACCTTTCCGCTACGTCATCGACCTTCGGTGGACTGCGGTGGACTGCGGTGGAGGGTGGAGTGTTGGCTACTTTAAGCGGCTTTGCGATAAGTCGCGGAGGCGTGGCCGTGTCGTGTATGTTGCCGCTTAACATTATGGCTCTTTAATTGGATTTAATGCAAACAATATTCCGCACACCTCCGCCCTCGCTTCCCTTCGGGGCACAGGGCCAGAAGCCAAAGTGATCTGTAAAATGGGAGCAAGCAAAGCCGAAGCTGTAGGTACACTTGTTTAATACAATGACACAATAACAGCAGCTGTTGCGGTAGGCAACCGAATGTAAGCCACAACAGAATGTTAGCGACAACAGAATGTTACCTACAACAGACTGTTAACAGTCCAGCTATGCAGACTGTTGGCTTTTACTCTCACGCGTCGGATCGCTCTCTCGCTGACACTTCGATCCACACGGCTCTCACACTCAGCTTAACATGATTGCACATAAATGAACATGATATTTGTGGCTAGAGGATGAAAATACCCGCTTTGATTACAGAGAATGTGAGTATATCAGCGGTACACAAATGGGTATAATTGATGGGCAATCTTGTTTGTTTTCTTCCTTCACAGTTCAAAGGAGAGGCTGCCAGAACAGTAAAGATAGACCGCATCCTGCATCCCCTGGATATGGATTGGGTATTGGCTGCTGCGGAACAAGTTGAACATCTGCATTAGCATAACACAAATACTTCCCATCTTTGTAAAATTATAGAATTACCCAAATTTGGTACACCAATAAATACTAATTACTAATTCTTGAAGTATCTTTTGGGGACTGGTTTGATTCGCAAAAGTGCGGCATACTTTTAGGTCGAACTGATCCCTTTTACAAAATATCGTACAACAACCATATCCTGCAGTCCTTGAGGTCCTTGATGAATTCAAACGATACAAGAGACTCTTCCGCTCATCAGGAGTTCTGGCATGTCCCGATCCGACAGGATACAGCTGAGTTATGAAGATGTAGGGATTTTAGATAATAACATCCTTAAAATGGCATTATCCTTTATGTCCTTTCATCCGAAAGGATTGAAAACGATCCGAGCCATTGTCCTGATTACGAGGAGGCATGGCATGTCCTGATCCGACAGGATACTGCTGAGTTATGGCGATGTAGGGATTTTAGCTAAACATCCCTTAACGGGTATTATCCTTGATGTCCTTGCACCCGTAAGGATGGAAAATAATACGGGGCATTGTCCTGATCACGAGGAGGCATTGCATGTCCTGATCCGACAGGATACAGCTGAGTAATGGCGTTGTACGAGTTTACTTTAAAACATCCTTAAAATGGCATTATCCTTGATGTCCTTTCATCCGAAAGGATTGAAAACGATACGGGGCACTGTCTCGATCACGAGAAGGCATTGCATGTCCTGATCCGACAGGATACTGCTGAGTAATGGCGTTGTACGAGTTTACTTTAAAACATCCTTAAAATGGCATTATCCTTGATGTCCTTTCATCCGAAAGGATTGAAAACGATACGGGGCACTGTCTCGATCACGAGAAGGCATTGCATGTCCTGATCGGCCCTCGAATAAAGGAGAAAACAACAAACAACTAAATCTACTGTTTTTGTTGTACAACAACCACTAGTTTGCACAGTGGCGCCCCCGCGATCATGACGGCCACTTCTGAAACTAAAATAACGCAGTTCCAAAGTTGACCGGCCAGAGCCGGGGCGCCACTGTGCATGTTAACTCTTGAAAATGCTTCATTCCAATGTAAATTTTCAGACCGAGTACCAGGCCAACAGAAATCAGCAGAAAGTAGCTGGTGTAAGTTTTTTCACCGTGTCAAGAGCTCGTTGCCATGAAACCGCACTTATTTTTTTCAAAACCATTGTAGCTAAAAGTATGCCACAGTATCTTTGTGTGCAATTTCATACACTTCAAGAATTAGTCAAAATATCCAGGCAGCTAAAAAGTATGCTACAATATTTATTGGTGTACCAAATTTGGGTAATTCTATAATTTTACAAAGTTTTTAAGTATTTGTGTTATGCTAATGCAGATGTTCTACTTGTTCCGCAGCAGCCAATACCCAATCCATATCCAGGGGATGCTGGATGAGATCTTTCTTTACTGTTCTGGCAGCCACTCCTTTGAACTGTGAAGGAAGAAAAGAAGAAAACAAACAAGATTGCCCATCAATTGTACCCATTTGTGTACCGCTGATATACTCACATTCTCTGTAATCAAAGCGCGTATGTTCATCCTCATCCATGTGGATTGTAGTTGAAGCGAGAGAGCGAGCCGACGCATCGCTGGAAGGTTAACAGTATGTTGCAGCTAACAGTCTGTTGCAGCTAACAGTATGTTGATCCGCTGGAGCTGCTGTTACTCTAAACAGTTGAAAAAATCATTCCACCCACTGCTAGAGTTATCTCTCGCGAAAGTACTTAATCCGTTTATTGTGTGTAAGCTGAAATCAATTCCATTGGCGGCCGGACGCGAACACGCGGACCGTCACGCGTTTGCTTTTGCACTTGTTATTATTATCGCTGCTTAATTAACGAATATTTATGCTCTCATAACAGCAACGGGCAACGCCACCGCACATTAATCGCTCCAGCCACAGTCCACGGTCCACGGTCTCTGCCCAAAAACCCGTTCAATCTTGAAATTTGCCAAGAGCAAGGCACTCGAACATTGGAGTAAATGGATTCAATGGGATCTATTGACAGCTCCACTGCAAAGAGCAGATCTTGTTTGGACAGTGATATTTCAGCGGATTGCATAAGTCCAGTCAATGGCAGTGGGAACTACACTCGAGTGTGGGGCTGGATGAATCGATCATCTGCAAAAGAATTCATAAATTTGTGGACCCAACTGAGTGGGAGCCGAGTGGCTTATCTTACCTTGAATTGGCTATTGAAGCAATTAATCTTGATTGAAGTGGCAGACTCCAAGTTGCAAATTCCACCTTTAAATTTTGATGACCTCTTTAAGGCACTGACTGGCACTGATACATCCCCGAGGGCCATTCATGGGGCCCAGACAAGAACAATCAAATTAAATTAAATGCAAACGTGGCCGAAAAAGGAGCAGAGTGGGTTCCACAGGGCTTCAAGTTTTTCCCTGGCAAATTAGCTGCCGTTGTTGTTTGGTTTTGATTTGAGATTTGATTGCAAACAGAGAAGCGGAAGGAGAGGCTGCGCCACAGCTTGTCCTTGTCTGAGTTGACAATTAGTCAATAATTTATTTCAATTTCATTTGGCATGCCCCTCAGTGTCTGTGTGAGCTAACTGCACTTTAATTACATTTACATGTCGACTTGAGTTTTTGCTCTGCCCCAAAGAGCTGCCACGGCATTCACTTCGTGCACCCAAAATCCTCTCCCATTCGACAGCTCTTCTGGCAGTGCACCCGAGCCACATGCCATTGTTCTGGCATGGCAATGCAATTTAGGTAAGCGAATTTTCCTGATTTAAATAACAGCATTATGTGGGGCAGATTTTGTATTTATCTGCAGCATGTGTGTGTGGGCGTGGCAGGGCGAAAAACTGCCAACCGAGCGAGTCGTTGCTGGACCTGTGTCCTGGTATAATTAAATTATGGCATGACATAAGACGACGCATAGCAAGTCATAAATCAAATTTACCTATCCCACGGGGCTGCCCAGTGGATGCCACTCGGTTGGGCTCAGTCTGGGATGCCCTGCACATTCTTGCTTCGTGCTGCCGCAGCATTTTGATGGACATTATGAGGACTCTGTCTCGGCAAACAATTAGACAATTGATGCATCTGATGGGGCGACTGCTCTCTGTCGGTCTGTCCGTCTGTCCTTTCGTTTGTATTTGCATTTTGCAGCTGCAAGGACGTGTGTGTGCAGTACCAGAAAAGGGCTGTCCCTGGTCCGAGTTGCAACTCTGTGACTGCGTTTAATGTTGCCGCTGTCAGGGGCAGCCACTGCAGTGCAAGTGGAAACATTTCTGTATGCCGATTTGTTGCCTCTTGTGTCTGTTTTGGTTGTTTTGAATGTTTAGCTTGGTTTAGCTGCAAAACGAAATGGTTTAAAGTTGCTTATGTTAATGCCTGAAATGCCTCGACAAAAGTAAAACCACTCGGGCAGAAGTAGAAAAGAAAGCAGACTTCTGTCTCCTGTCTTGCTGCCATCGCGATATGTCATAGAAGATGCGCAGACAAAGGCAAGCCAACCCTCCGCTGTGATACGCATCGCGTAGCTCGCTCCAAGGCTGATTAAAATTTAATTTTTAATTTAAAGACTGTTTGCATTTTATTTGTATTTGCAAATGGATTTGGCCCACCCTTCGAAGGTCGTCCTGGCTGTTGATTTATCATTACTTTATGCAAATTGACCGCTTACCTTTTGAGCGCTTATCTGGAGCGCATCTGTGGAAAGTTTTGTCTCCCAGCTCTTTTCCCTGCGCTCCGTTTGTCCTTTTGGCTTCCCCTGGCTGGCTGGCTGCCTGCCTGCCACGTGCAATGTCAATGCCAGGCGATTAACATTCAATTAGCTTCTGGCTTCATCAATGATTTTATCGCTGCCATTTGGGGCCAGGACAGGGCAGGGCAGGGCCAATGGCGAGTCCTGTTGCTGTGGCAGGTTTCAGTGTAAATTGTGGCAAATTATCATTAGCCTGTTGAGGGTGTCTCTGATGTGTCTCTGTGCCTCTGTGTGTGCCCCCAACAAGGACAACAACGACATCTTCACATCTTCAAAAGGTTTTTATGACATCAACAGCTGTCGTTGACAGATTATTGTGGCGATTATTTTAGCAAGATAGGAAAGGACAGAGGACAGAGGACAGAGGACTGCAGACTGAGAAGCCATCAGCAGACGGAGCACAAAACAGGACCCAGGCTGCTGGCATGAGGAGACATCTCTGCTTTGTGCGTTCAACTGGAAATTGTCAGAGATGCTGCTGGCTCTTTGCTGTTCCTGGCTGCTCGACACATGTGCCAGAAGCCCAGCTAGGGGCCACTTAAGCATCTTGCGGCTTAACACTTGTAAACAACTACATTTGGGAGAAGGCTGAAGCTGGCAAAGTTGTCACATTTTTATTCAACAACACACACCCAGATGAGCTCTCCAAAAATTGGTTTTACTCTCATTGAAATGTACTTTCAATCCGCTCGTGGATGGAGGGAGTTTCTTGTCAATTGTGCTTCCAAAAATAATGTTTCGATATTTTTCCGAAGTCGAGCAGATGTGCTTCTGCACTGTGATTTTGCTCAAGTGCTCGCTGGTGCTGGCAATTATTTTACTGGCCGTGAGTTCTGGCAACATTCTGGACTGGCTCATACATGGGTTACTCTCCCACAGATTCTCAGCGTGTTGGACACTGTGGAGGACATCCAAAACCATGGCCAGACCACAGCGAGAGGCCAAATGATGCTCATTATGTGCTATGTCCTGAACTCCTTCATTATAGTCATACTCTGTGCGGGCGTGTATGCGGCAATACGCGAGAAACTGAAGCTACTGCAGCTGGTAAGCTGAGGCAGCAGAAACTTCCTCAAATGATGCAACTTCAAGGGTGGTTCTTTCAGCTAATTTTGGCTTTGATCACCTATTTCCTGGGCAAGATGTCGCTCTGGATTGTGGTGGGCAACCAAGGCGTGCTCGAGCTGCTGGTGGTTCATTTCTGGTACCAACTGACTTTGATTGACTCCGTAAGCACAGATCTAACCCTTGTAACGATTAGCTCTAGCCTCTACCCACGCCTTCCAGTTGGTTTGCATTGTGCTGCTGACTTGTTTCTGCCTGAGAATAAAGGATGACGATGGTGAGGATCCGCCATTTAGTTAGGCCATTCCCTCCGCACTCTACACTGAATTTCTTACTCGATGTGGCCATCAGACAGCTGGTGGGCAATCGAATTACATGCGAAATTATGGACACCCGCAGGACCATAACGGCAGGCCAATAAAGATCGCAGGGAGCAGATAAGCGGCAGCGAGTCCTGCGATACCAGCGCACAATATTGTCATCGGCTGTGGTGTTGCTTTAAATGAAATTTAACGATGCGCACAAATAATGACACTTTGCATTTTAAAACACTTTCGCAGTCGGTCAGGAGTCATCAGGCAGCAGCAGCGAGGCTCATTATACGCATTTCATTTGACACTTTTATTGGCCCAGATGTCCATGGCTGATATTTCAGATGGCACAAGCGAAATGTGTAATGCTCCTGCCCCTGCCGCATGGTTTATGCGGGTCATTTAATGGCCAGCAACGGATACCGATAAGGGCATTCAATTTGTTTGCCACTCGCTCAGCATTTGGCCAATTACGCAACAAAAAAATGCTACAAATATTCCCCCACTCTCTCACTCGTGTGTGTGTGTGTGTGTGGGGGAGAACGTGTCAAAGTGCTGAAAAATGCAGCAGGTTTCAAGCGTGTGGGCAGGCTGGGTCTGCGGAGAAGGTGCTTTGGTCTGGAGTGGCTCATTAGAGGTGGCCCGACTAGCCCCGAAGGTGTTGCCGGTAAATTGTGTGGAAAAACGCGCTCACACTCCACACGGACACACGGCCAGCACTCATCCACTTTTGCGGGGATGAAATGTGTGTCCGTGCTGCCTCCCCATTTAAATATGCAGAAATGTATGCCCAAAAATGGAATATTCGTGTTCGCTTTTCTTTTGCTACTTTTAATTCTGCAACTGGCATAATTAAAGCCAGCGTTGGCAGGCCGGTGCTGGGTGCTGGGCCGGGGGCGACTTCTCTCTGGGAGAAATTTGCGATTGTCGCCAAGCGGTTTGGGGCCATAACAGCATGTCGTCGTCGTCGTCGTTGTCCTTGTCGTCGTCCAGGCGTGTGTCCTGCGGCTGATTAAAATCTATTAGAGTCAAAGAGATGTAAGACACTGTGAGACCATGGGAGCTGCCATGGAGGCGTGGGAGGGAAGGAATATCTACTTTGGCCAATGACTTGGCATGTAAATGTCGACGTCGCAATTGAAATGCATGCGGCGGAAACTTCCAACTTGTCAGGGAAGTGTATGCCGGGGAGGTTATGCCGATGCGGACATTTGCTTTGACAAGAGAGAGAGAGAGAGAGAAATTTTGAGAGATTTAACTGTAAGGAGTAATCTACAGAAGCAACAGAATTCACTTTCCCCTAGATATTTGTATGATAATTGCATTTTATTTTATTTTATTTTGTTTAGAACTTAACTGAATCGAAATGTAAGCTGCAGCTTCGACTCTCTTCGTGTCTGCAAAGAGAAATGCATAAAGAGAGTGAGAGAGATCTCTTGTGCAAGAGCTTTGTTGCTGTTGGCAAAAGCTGCTTGCTGTAAAATGTTGGGCATTGCTTACAAAACAGCAGCTGAGTTCTATGAAAATGATTTATAATCACAAAAACTAGAGTGTTTTTATCTATTTCCTCCAATGATATCTAAGCTGTAAGGGTATTTGCCAAGCAGCTCGCTCCGAAAGTTTGAACTCTCTGCCTATTGTTCTTGTACTTGTTTTTGTTGTTGCCAGAAGTCGCACACAAAACTTTCCAGTGCAAAGTTTTCAACGGAAATTGTGCAGCTGCTTGGCCAGCGTGTGTGTGGGTGTGGGTGTGGGTATGTTTCTCCTCTTAAATATCCTGCAGAGCGAGAGCTTGTAAAAGCAAATTTGTTGAAATATTCATTTAATGGCTTCCACGCCTACTATCCCTGCATGGATGCACGGTGGCAAGGAGCTCTTTCAATATGATTTTTCATGATTAAAGCGCGTGCCGGGTACGTTTTTATCGGCCGAAAGACATTTGCCCATGCGATGCCCTGAGTTCGATATTCGAATTTTCTTATAAATTGTCACCACCCCCACAACAAATGTGTCCACACACACAGAGAGCGTGGGGGGGTTGGAAAATGCTCTCACACGCTCGCATAATAAAGTGATTTTAAAGGGCACTTTTCCCCGCACTTTTCTTTCGCTCAGATGGCGTATGCGTAAAATTTCCATTTGTGCGAGGCACTCAACTTTATTGAACTTGAAGTGGAGACAGAGACCCCCGCTCTCTGCGGCCCTCTGTCTGATAATGTTTGTCTGATAGAGCACACATGTGAGCTCCACCTCCTGGCTTCTGCTCCACGATGTTCTGGCTTTACAATTCATTAAAATTGCATATAAATGCTGCGGATGATGGGCATGAACGATCATGATCGGGCACACAGACAATGGCCAACGGCTTAAGCCACTTTGCAGCTGTAGCTGCATCGTGTCCGTTATTAACTGCCAGTTACAAATGCCAGCGCCACAATAACGGCATTGAAAGCGCTGCGAAAGCGTCAAGTCATAAACTGCTCATCAGTCTTGAGTAACTCGCTCTCCCATTCTCTCGCTCTTGCTCTCTCTCTTTGCTGTGTCCCACCGTGTAACTGTAATTATGCGACGCCGCTGCAAAAGTTGTGCTATCACAACTCATTGTCTCGTCGCCATGGCGGAGCAGGAAGTGGAAGCGGCAAAAGCCGGCGGCAAAACATGCCACCGAGAAGGGGGCGTCGGGTCGCTTGCAACGTTGTCTGTGCCTGTGCCTGTGTCTGTGCGCCTTTTGCTCTTTTGACGCTGATAATGCAATTTCCGGCAGTGCCATTTTGCCGCAGCCCTCGCGTAATTTACTGTTATGCAATGTTTCACTTTTGTTGTGCACTTTGTGAGCCTTTTAAAGCAAGGATTCGCTCTGCGTACAATCAACGCGGCTAGTTTTTTGCTGCTATTTATCTAGATAAAGTTAATTGAAAGCATTCAAATGCCAGAGACAGAGATGGAGACGCCAGCGACGGCGTGATGCGTCAACATCTTTTGATGCCACATAATCCCACTCGATTCATTCCGCCCCCACAATACTGTCTATGGGTACATGTCTCTCCTCTCCGTCTTTATTACAAATTGGTTTTTCTGCAACAACCACCAAGCCACCACCCACTCGCAATTTGCACCACCGAACTGAATCGACTGGGAGAGGGGGGCAGCAACAGCAGCTCTCTCTCTCTCTCCCTCTCTACAGACAAAAATAAATTGCAGCACACGGCTAACCTAGCTAACGGTGAAATGGCTGTGGCAAACGTGTCCTGTTCGGTTCGGTTCTGTTCCACGCTGACAAACTGAAATCGAAAGTTTGACTGCGGTCAACGTCGGGGGCATTGTCTTCTCCCATCTATCGCTCGAGTCTCGCTCTCCTCGGCTCCGCTCCGCCCCGACTGACTGTCAGATTGAATGGTTTATGTGTGACACCTTTGACCGGTCGCAGAGGTGCCACAAGGGCACAATGCCGCCGCTCTCTCTGACAGACGATATAAATTAAAATGCAGCTTTAACCCATGCTCAGATATCGGCAGGCTAAAGGGCTACAGTCCGAGATTTGCAGGTAAAGCAGAAATGTATTTATTTAAATGGATAAAATGGTGAATGGCTTACGTATAAGTGTAATAATGTTAACAAAGTTTTAATATAAATACTTTTGTGATACACTTCCCGTCCCCAAGTTTCGTCCACTTTTCATTCCGCTTTTGGTTCTTTCTCCTTGCTGGGATTTTCCGGCAAAAGTCACGTGGCATTCATAATTCTTAAAATGGCGCCATCAGAAATTATGTAGCAATGCTAAGTGCACCCAAACATCTGTCCCACGCACGGGGCGTGGGGCACGGGGCATGGGGGCTTAGACGTGACCAGCATTTGTCGCACGCTTAAAGTATGCTGGCATTTTCGGGGGGCATGGGGCATGGCTGCCCGAGCAATGGAGAATTGATTTTGGATTTCTGCAAGCTGATTATGGAATTAAAACATATTTCTGTCTTAGAGCTTAAAAACTTTAAGTGGCAAAGGTTGTCGGTCGCTGCGAGGCGTTGTTCCCGCTACGTGACATTCTTTTCCTTTCGGAGTTTATCACGTGACAAGTTTTCCAGTTTATTTTCCACACACACCCACCCAGAGAGTGTGCGTTTCATTTTCATTGTGGGATGAAGAAAAAAAGAAGATGAAGTTTTCACGTGTGTGTGGGAAAAGGAAATGAATAAGCAAACGAAACTACAAAGAAGTGAACTGCAAAAGCGAACTGCGAAAGTGAACTTGGGTTACAAAGACAGGACACAGAGGCAGAGGCAGAGGCAGAGGCAGAGGCAATGGCGGATAAAAAAATAAACAATTCGCCTTTTGAAATGCTAAACGTGAGCGAGAAAAAACACACACAGGCAGGGGGGAGGGGGTGGCAGGAAGACACAGAGACACAGGGCCAGGGGCACTCTTCACACGACCAGGATCCGGGACCGAGACTCGTGTATTTTTATTAGCACACGGATACGGGCTGGAGCTGGGGGCATCCGTTTATCTTGTTACTTGGCACCCGCTCAATGCCAAATACATTTATCTTGTCCTATTTGTTTTGTAGCACATTAATTTCGGCTCGTGTTTGAGCAGAAATTGACTTATTTGCATTCGCTTTAATTTGCACGAACATCAATATGCCACAAGGAACCAAAGTAAACCCTAAAACGGAATGGGATGAGGATTGTACGGGGCAGGGGCAGGGGATGGGATGCCTGCTGCTGCGGCTTACACACAGCCACAGGTGTTGCAAGTGTCAAATTGGTGATTGATGGCAGGCTGTACAAAAATTATGAGATTTGTTTTTAAATCAGAAAAGGGAGAGCCTGATTGAAGCATGTCCTGGAAAAAACACTCACAAAAAAGATCATATTTTGAGTGTTTGATTAGCTTATAAAATATTCTGATACAATTATGTTCTGTACCTTTCGAGTGGCCTTAAGCGGAGTCTTCGAGCTCCGCTGAGTTGCAAATTTTGATTGGTTTTCCTTATTTTTAAATAACGCTTGCCTGAAGCTCGTTCTCAGGCTTTCTTGCGCTTTGCTGCAACAGCTGACTTCTTGTTCCTGCACCTCTTGGAGGAGGCGTGTTGCTCCTCGTCCTCGTCCGTTGAGGAATCAGACCAATCCCGTATAAAAACAGTCGAACTGGCCATGGCATCCTGTGCCTTTGCTTGCTTAATCGCTCTTACGGGGATCTCGGATCGATAGCCAGACTGTGGAAAGTTTTTGCACTCACTCGTAGGACTTTGATGCACACAGCTGAACTCACCCTAAGGTACCGTGCACGGTGCTCTGGTGACATTGTTCGCCAGCGTTGCGCCACCTTCTTTTCAGCCGCCTTCCGTTGCGCCACCTTCTTTTGCGCCGCCTTTGGTCCAGCGTGCATGGATCCAAAGCGGCGCTGGCATTGTCGGGCTGAGGGAGCCTCCTTTAGCGACTCATCGCTTTGTTTTACAACAGATTTTGACATTTTTTCGAATAGTTATTATCTACAAATATATATTGCTTCCTCGTAAGCAGCACTGTGAAGCGACAACAGCTCCACATACACAATAATATTACACTTCTATTCAAAAAGTTAAAGAAAAACGTGTTTAAAATTTGTTATTTGTGTTTTTTTGTTTATACATTGAATTTTGAACAGTTTGAAACTAAGGCAAAGCCAATATATTTTGATTCAAGTGAAAACTAAGTACATTTTTGAGTTACTTCGAGCACCAATTGAAGCACTTTCAGTTAAGCCACTTAAATGGAATTAAATAGAAATTTACAGATGGCACGGCATGGCGAATGCCAAAGCCAAATGAAGTAATATTAGCCACACGGCCCGTGGTGTGCTTCATGGAACAGCGACGACAGACAAAATGCATTTTTCATAAAGCAGACAGCGAAACGTGTGTGTCTCTCTGTCTGTCTGTCTGTCTGCCTGGGAAGGCCAGGAAGCTGGGAGCTGGGAAGCTGCTTGGGTTGGGGCTGAAGTCTACCTGCAGACGTCTATCGACAGAGCGGCAACAATGGAGTTTGCAGGTTGGAAAATGGCCGAAAGCGCAAAATGTCAACCGAAATTGCGATTGCGTTAAAACTCTATAAATACCAGAGTAACATGCGACCACAGCAGCAGCAGCAACAACAACAACAACAACAACAAATGCGAGTCCAGCGAGGAGGACATGCTGATGTGGCAGCAACACAATCTAATCCGGTTATTGCATTTTAAATGCGAAAGAGCCACAACCAGGGCTATGGCTGGGGCAGGGACAGAGTCAGAGTCAGAGTCAGAGTAAGGCACGCTCTCAATTCTCATTCAATTATTTGCCAGGCAATTATTGCCAACTGGCAGTGGCCATCAGCGGTCAGTTGGGGTCTGTTTTGCCAAGAGGTTTTCCTTCCAGGGCTCTCGCTTTCATTTCCTTCAGTATGTGCCATAAATAAGCCTTCACCTCAGCATGTCCCTGGCCTGCAGTTCGTAATGCGCTTATCTGGGACACCAGACGGCGCCGTGACCCAAAACCGCAATCGTATGCCAACTCTTTCAAATTTTAATGCAATTTAACAGCATATTAAGCAGCAGCAGGAGTCTGCGGCCGGGAGCCACAAAGCTGCCACAGTTGTTGCTGCTAGCCGCAAAATTTTAGTGCGGCTGAAGGCAAAGTTTCAAATGAAAATGGTAAAGGCAGGACCTCCTGCTTCCAAGGTGAATGCTGTTTGAATGTGTGTAAGTATGAGTACCCAGAGTGGGTATTCATGAACTGCACTGACTGAATGGCTAATCAATTGCGCGCACATTGAGCACAAATCAAATTACAAACTTATCGCGTCCAACGATTTTTGCACAAAAGTTTTGCCAGCTTTCCCGCCACTTCCCTCCCGCACCGCTCGTTGCGCTGTTTTGAGCTCAACTTTTGCTCAATTTGATTTTTCAACAGAGAAAAAAAAAGCAAAAGTTTCTGCCTTTTTACCTGCCGTTTTGCCTGCTTTTGTCTGTGCGTCTGTCTATTCGTACTTTTGCTTGTCGTTAAACAAACTTATCCAATAAAACTTTTGTCAACATTGATTTAAGGCTAAGGAGGATGCATAATACGAGTGGAGTGTGGGGAATATTGGGTGGTGGAGTGGTAGCTGGAAGCTGGGGAAAACATTTGACATTTCGCCTGCTCTTATCATGTGTCAAAAAATGTTAAGCAGCAGGCAGGGTTGTCAGCTGTGCTGAATATTTATAATTCAGTTATTTCTATGCTTTACAGAGTGTAGACATTGGACTTCGAAACACCTGGCAACCCTGGCAGCACCCAGCACCCAGCGTGTGTGTCCCTAAGCCAGTTTTTGCCTTGCCACACAGAAAGTGTTGGGGCATGCCGCATAAGTAGAACAGTCCAAGACAAACTTTTCCATTGCAACCTGATGCTGCTGTTGTTTTTGTTTCAGTTTCAGTTTCAGTTGTTGTTGTTGTTGTGGCCATGGAATGCATTTACAGTTAGCTGACTGCGGCAGCTTCTCTTTATCCACTTCTACTTAATACTTTAATAGTTGCAAAAGTTTGCTCAGCACGAGCTTAAGTAGCTCTCTCTCTCTCCCTCTCTCTCTCACTCTCACTCTCCTCAAAGCTCCGCTACACTCCGCTCTCTAACGGTCCGCTCCCCAGCTCGCTCTGTCTGGCGCTGGTTAGTGCTTAAAATAACTGTAAAACTGCCAACATAAATCTGGCCACAACATCTTTTATGTTTTGCCACTAGCCCGCCGCACTCAATGCCAGCCACGTGAGCATCTTCCGATTTAAAGACTTAAAGTACAGCGGAGAGTGTCCACTCCACTCCCCTCCTTCCGGCAAGTGAAGAATGAGAATAAAGAGAATGAAGACTAAAAAGTTGCACAGACAAACAACAAATTGACGCGTATCTTTTGCATATTGAATAAAAGTCAAATTGTGTTTGGCATATTAAGCGGGCATCGGCAGTCGGAAATCGCAATCTGAATTGAATTGAAAATCGAAAGCAAAATCTCTGCCAAATCCCTGGCCTCCTTCTTGGCGGTCCTGTCCGTCCTGTCTGTCGCTTGGACAAAAGCGATTTTTCTTGTTGGAACTAACGGCTTAGCGACACAGCAATTTACACTGCAAATTCAGCGATTCTGGCAAATAAGTTTGAACGGCAGTTGCTGGGAGTCGCGAGTCGGGAGGAAGTCTTGTGCAAGTTGAAATTTTATCAAAATTTATAGGCTGTAATTTCATAATTTCTGTCATCAAATCGCAATTTGCTTTCTTACTCGCAGAACAAATATTTGCTCTTTGTGGCACATAAAACTATTGACATTTAATTACTTGACTTACAATATGCACCATGACAGCCATTGGCCATTGGAAATATTTAAAATGAATATTTGTTCTGCCTTTCGCTGTAATTCAAGCTTATGGAATGTGTGCGAACGCAGGGCAAACCGCAATATTTAGTCAAATTTCAGTGAGCGGATTGAACAGCGAGGTGTGCTTTAAAAGAATGTGTTTTCACAGGAAACCCAGGAGCTGAACGGGGATGCTCTTCCGATCAGAGAAAGGTCTCGGGATCATGTTCACGCTGCCCGAGATAATTCCACATTTGTCCCTCCTCTAAATCCACTCTCGCAGCATGAATGTTGTACCAAATTCCATAATTCCAGCCTGAACCCTAATGAGGCAAACGCAATGCAAATTTATAGCCACACCCCCTCGCAGTCCTCTCTCTCTGTCCACTGTTTGGGTCTGACTTAAGGGATTAGCATCATTATGCGCAGTTTATTTGTTTGAATTTATGCTTGTGTGCTGTAAAATGTAATTCATGTAATTGTTTTTAATTTCCATGCATTTATAATTCAACATTCGCGTGGCGCTTAGAGCGTCGCGACTCTTCACGCGGGAGTGCCATGAAAAGCTCATTTGGGTTCCCCCTGCAGGCTATGAGTGTCCTCCGCTTTGGATTACCGACAGGGGAGAGAGTCTGGTGTAATTATGCAAATTTGTAATGAGCGTGAAAATTGCCTTTTTCGAGCAACAAGTAGGCGTCGCGTCTTGGTTCGGGCTAAGTACGAGCTGTGGGGGGGGAGCGGACGGATGATAATTTCATTTGACCCACAGCACCAGAAGCCAGGAATCCATTTACCTTGCTCTTTCCCGTTGCTGATTCCTGACTGCTGACTGACGACTGTGCTGGCATTTGCTCTTTGGATTTATACAGATTTAGTCAAACTAAACATGAATTTGCACTTTTATTCACAAAGCTCGCATCGCATGTGCACATGTGTGTGTCGTCAGAAAGAGCGCAAAAGAAGCGATTGAGTGAGAGAGAGAGAGAGAGAGAGCAGAAGAACGCGTGAGTGACTGAGCGGGGGAGAGCCAAAGCCATGAAGTAACTATAAGGAGGTCTCGTGGGTGGCAGAGTTACTAGTTGCTTCTGCTTATTGTGAGTGCTCGTTTGCTTGTCGTTGGTTAATCAGCACACTCCATTGTCGTTGCCCTCACACTTACAGCGAGAGCCCTTTCACTCGCAGGTTGTGCTTATTTTTGCCGACGAGACCTCCTTATATAGTTGCTTCATGGCCAAAGCGCAAGTGAGAGCGAAGGGCGAGTGAGAGCGGCGTGAGACGTAAGCCGATTTGTTGGCCTGCCACTAAAGTGGTCCCGCTCGTATTAGCGTTAAGCCCTTTCAGAGCCAGCTCCACATATGGCAAGGACTGAAGAGCGACAGGGTCTGAAATCATACTCATCCAAGCCGTAAAATGGAACAATTAATAGGTCATAAAGCAGGGGATTTTAAAAAATGTTATGAGTCCCAAGATAACGTTGAATAAATTACGCTAAAACAAAGCAGTGTCAAGGCAGTATCGGAAACCCAATACCAAACCTAGAAGTAAGCTCAGCCTAAGGCTGTTCCTAAGTTTGTACATCTCTGAGAAACACATTAAAACTTCAAATTACATTTTTACGGTGTTATTTTTTGCTCTCTCTTTCCACATTTTTACTTTAGATTCCAACAAAGTCATCAGACGATGCACCATTAATCGTATCAGAAGTTGCGAAGATGCCAAAGACCCCATCGGAGAGCGAGCATCAGTGAGAAAGAAAGCGAGTCCATGGCTCCATCCAAGATTGTTTGATTACAAGTCCATACGTTGTGCCGAATGCTTTCATGATTTTATGGTGTGGCATGCTGATTGTGAAGCAACCAGGCATGGGTTTCCTTAGAAACTTTTTAAAAAATATATACAAAAATACTGGAAATAAATGCTGCCAGGCTGATGTTTCTAGTTCGAGATGTAGAACTCAACTGAAAGAACTGTAAATATTGTATAGAGTTAATGACACACTTTCGGTGTTGAGAAAATTTGATAACTGTCTTTTTCCATTAGCAAATACTTCATCTATGCACATGTATGTGTCACTTACACACACACACATATAATATCGTGTATCGATACACCCGCGTATAGTGTCAGAAATGCAAAAATGTTAAGCCTTGCGGCAGCTTTTGCCCAAACAGATTGTAGACAAATAAATGCCGCCAGCAGAACACACACGCACTCAGAAGAATAAATAATAAATAACAAACTGAATTTTACATCATTTTAAACACTAATTTTTCAACTGATGCTGCCTGCTTTTTGTATACATATTACATGCATTTCTCTGAGTGTAGCGTGGCTGTTGCCAGGCCTGCCTTCTGTTGCGGCCTGCATTGTTGCCAAAGTTATTTCATTTCAATATTTTATTTTACATATTTATTCGTACTCTTTGACTCTCTCCCTCTCTGGCGAAAACCTTTTCCACACTTAAGTGGTTAAATTGGCTGTGATAAATTGTTGCAGAGTCAAAGTTGTTGCCACAGCGGCGCTGCGGGTCGCCTCAAGTCACATGTGGCTGGGGTGGTAAGCCCGCAGGTTGACTCCCACCCTGACTCATCTGCTTATTCATGGAGTGCCGTATCCCGTGCCGTGCCCCGTGCTTTGTGTGTCTGCCGCTGACAGTAATCATAACGCAGTCATCAGCTCGCATTATTACAGCTGCCTGACATATGACATCTGGGAACTGGGGAGCCTGGGAAGGCACTCGAATGTGTGTGGGATAGTGGAGCTATTAATATGCGAGTGGGAGGGCTAATAGCACAACCCAAACCGAACCAAACCCAATGTCGTAGTGGGTGATGGCTAATGGGCGCGCCTGAGACTGATGGCATCCTTTTGGTCGCACTCGCAAATTAAATGTCTAGCCCTACGAAGTTTGTCTTGCTTAAAACAGGTGCGGGAACCAACTTAAAGATGTTAGCGAGGATTCCAACAATTTTCCAACAATTTTCCACACTTTCCAACTGCTCGAAAGTCGTAAGCAAATTTTCGCGCTTATCGCCACACTCGTATCAGACAATCTTGATGTGCATATCGCTTTTATGGGCAATTCATGCAAAATGCTTCCTGCTGCCAGCGGGCAACGACAATGGCGCGGAATATAGCACGGACTTATGTGGCACAGCAAATACACTTCACTCAGTAGGATATGCTTAGTTTGTTTCTTTTTCTTCCAAACTTTCAGCATCTGCTCTGCCCCATAGAGCATCACATGCGTCGTCCATCATCGTTGTCCTTGCTGCGGTGTCGGTGTCCGTGTCCGTGTTTTCTCTTCCCGTTTCATTCTCTAACTTCCCGACTGACCAACTGCATTTGCAATTTATAGGCGTATGTGCAGTGCGTAACATAACTATCAGGCAGCTGTGCTTCTAATACATAAGTAACACATTTCGTCAGTCCTGCTTTTGGTACCCGTTCAAAGTGGGTTTCGAGTATAAAAATTGAAACGATTTTAACGCACTGAAACTCACTGTACTGCACACACACACATTTCTGCATCTCTGCCAGTTTTTTCCACACTGTAACGGTGGTGCAAAACAATGGGAATGTAAATTGTTGTTATGTCTTTGTTTTTCATTTCGCCAGTTTCGCCAGCTTTCTATCCTGCCTTCCTTGCAGAGGCCTGTGAATGGATTTCTAGCCCTTTTTTTTAACTACACATTTTTGCGTAACACTCGAAACCGCAACAACATTACATACGAAGCAGTTTGCTTAGTTTTCATTGCCAACGTTGTGGCAGTCCTGCTGCTCCTCGTCCTAGTCCTGGTCGTTGTCATAGCGCAGTCCTCTAATTTTTTGTTCATTTGCATATGGAAAAACATTGGGAAAGGGTTTCGCTGCTGGTCACGTTTGGGAAGTGTCTCCCCTGCGAGTTGTTCATGACATTGACGTATGAATGCCTCATGAATATGTACATGCAGGCTGGGAGCTACAGTTCAGCGACCCACAAAATCCTCAATAAAACTGGCTTCATTAGCCGCCATTAGCCGGCTTTGTCTGACCCACAGAAATGAAATTGTGCAGAAAAGTAGCAGAGATACACAGAGGGGAAGAGGAGCGAACTCTAGCTGGAAGCTGAAGCCGGACAACACATGGCCCCCAGTTCTTGGATGCGTGCGGTGTGTCATTAAAGTTTCATCAACGCCGCAAAATGAAAATGGAGCACAACGAACAACACAATCAGCACTCAAGGGGGGACTGCAGCAGGGGAGACTCTCACTCAACTCCTCGGCAACTCTGGGTAACCCAAAAGGGCCGCAGGGCCGCAGGGCAGCAGGGCAGCAGGGCAGCAATGGGAAGGCCGCCTTGCCTGATATTGTCATTACATGCTTCAAGGATATTTCCTCTGTGGCGTAACCGAGGCAAATGTACTTTTGACAGTTGAGACTCCTGAAAGGGTTGACCAGCCCGACCCCGGACAACCGCAGTCGACAAAAGATTTGTTTGTCAGGACAAGCAACAGCTGCCCGCTGGCCAAGTGGCAGGCGCTTTCCTTCCCCCTAGACAATTGCCCAGCAAATTGCTTGGTTTAATAGTTCTGAAATCTGTTTCCCGAGTTCCCCCCCCCCACCCATCAAATGTTAGGTAAAAGTATTTAAATATTTATCAGCAACAGTGTCGTGCCACAGGGCTCTACTCCATCTTACGCATCACGCCCCCACATCTGGTCTACTCCTGACGTACCTCCGCCTCCGCTGGGTATTGGCAATTTTCGTCTTGGCCAATCAAGTTGGCTGGTTAGAGCGCACATTCAATGTGGCACACGCAGACATATTTTTGGCAGCTTTTGATTAGCACTAAGAAGGATTCTGCGGCTGCCTAAGTACTCAAAGTGGAGGCTAATACTTTGAGTAATTTGAGCAGATTTTTAGTGGTATCAAAACTCAAATTGGTGTCGATTTAAACAGCTGCCAGAAAGCATAAAATTTGAATAAATACTGTGGCCAGCATAGCAGCATGTTGCTGGCAACTGCATGTTGCGCAACATGTTTTGTGGAACGCATGTAGCTAATAATTTACCCGCAACATGGCGTAGAGTACAATTTTGAAAGCATTAGAAAGCGGCTAATAAATTATTGTAATTGATAATAAATAGAAATAAAGGATAAGAATTATATGAGTACTCACCCCTAGCATTCCTCCTGCTGTTGCTTCCCATATAAGTTTCACATCAAATGTAGGCCTTGCTCCATTCCTAATTTTGACTTTCAAATACTTGTCCAATCCGAAAGATTTGCTCCAACTGCCAGCCCTGCCTGCTCGTACTTTAGCTCGAATTATACAAGTGCACCATTGGGCAACGATAAGAGCAGCCAAATTTGGCGGCACTTGAGAGATTAGTGATAGCAATCGAGCAGGCCATAAAGTGTTGCCAGAGAGGTGCGTCGGCGGCGACTCTGTGGCTCAGTTGCAACCATGATCGTGACCACAACATTCCTGTGCTTCTGCGTGGCCTCGGCCATCAACTACTTCAGGACACGCCGCCAGCGTGCGTTCATTAAGAATCTCGGTGGACCCTTCGCCTGGCCGCTGCTGGGTGCGATGCACAAGCTGCTGTTCCTGAAGCCGCAGAGTAAGTGGAGGCGCTGCAGTCTGCCTGAAGGATCGAGTTTTATTCCATTTTGCTAGATTTCTTTCAGCGCAGTCATGCGTACCTGGTCAAGTATGGACCTGTGACACGTTTGTGGGTCTTCCATCGACTCTTTATGCCGCTGGCGGACCTCGAGCTGGCCAAGCAGGTGCTGCAGAGCGAACAGCACCTGGAGACGGGCTACGAGCTGATGCATCACTGGCTGGCCGGCGGCGTGCTCATGTGCGAGAAGGAGCAGTGGGCGCAGCGTCACAGCCTCATACGAGGCATCTTCGAGAAGGGCAACATGCTGCCCCTCACGGAACTGTGTCGCCAGCAGGCGGTGCTGCTGCAGCTGAAGCTGGCGGATCGCGCCGAGCAGCGTGAGGTGTTCAATGTCTGGGAGATTGTGGCACCCGCCGTGCGGGATTTGATGGTGCAAACAACCTGCGGCCTGCGACCCAGCGAGGAGTATGCCCAGGCATTCAATGGGTGAGTGGAGAGTCTCTCGCCTGGTAGATTTCCCCTGGTAGAACATTTCCCACTTGCCCGCAGCCTCACGGAGATCTATCGCAAGCGTTTCCTCAGCCTGCAGTCGGTGAACCGCTTTAGCTTTTGGATCAGCTCTCCACTGATGCGACGGAAACAGCTGAAGCTCATCAAACGCCTCAATGCGGAGCACAAGGAGCACATTGAACGATTCCGCAAGCAGCAAAAACAGGAGGAGCAGCTCAAGGCGCGCAATCTGTCGTTGGATCACATCGAGCCACTCCCTCCACAGTGGCATCAATCGCTGCTGGAGGTGCTGCTGGCACCCAACCACCAGCCCAGCATCACAGACGATGACATCTGCGCAGAGTTGAACACTTGCAACTATTTGGGGTATCTGCTCTGCAGCTCTGCCTTGTGCTTCGCTCTCGTCACAATTGCCCGGCATCCGGCTGTGCAGCAACGCTGCCTGGAGGAGCTGCGCAAGGCCCAACGACCAGATCAGAGCTGGGATGTGCAGCGGCTGACCTATCTGGAAGCGGTGCTGATGGAAACGCTGCGCCTCTATCCACCGCAAGTGATTGTCGGTCGGCAGTTGAGCGAGGATATGCCCTACAGTGAGTACAAGTCATCACTGTTCCTCCTCCTATTTCAATCTCCTATAGCTCACAGCGTTGTGGGTGATGGCACACTGCCCTTTGGCGCCGAGATCTATGTGAATCTCTTTGAGATGCAGCGCGACGAGGAGCGCTATCTGAATGCGAATCACTTTCGTGCGGAGAGATTCCTCGAGTCGCCGCCGGAGCTGCTCAGCTTTAGCATGGGTCCACGCTGCTGTCCGGCTCGCCAGTTCAGCATGGTGATGCTCAAGACCCTGCTGGCGCCCATAATCAGCAGCTTTGAGCTGCTGCCACACGGCGATGCACCGCGCCTGGACCTGCGACTGGCTCTGGGCTCCTCCAATGGGTTTCAGCTGGCGCTGACGCCGCGATTTCAATAAATTGATTCCCTTACTTATGTAAATATATTTTGAAATATAACAACTATTTTACCTCTTACGAATCTGCCACTCATTGGGCATCGTTGCGCCTGCGCATGCCCAGCTGGAAGCCCGTTGCGGAGCGCAGCACAATGTTGATGACACACTCGACGGGCTCGCCCAGTGGCAGCAGCTCGTACTCCCGCACAAGCTTGGCCAGCATCATCTTCATCTCCAGCAGGGCAAACTTCTGCCCAATGCAGTTGCGTGGCCCCGCGCTGAAGGGTATGAAAGTGAAGGGCGCAAAGCGCTCGCCGTTCTCATGGCGTTCCGGAATGAACTCCTCGACCTGGGGAAAAGCGCTGGGCAGTCGCTGAATGCCATAGATGCCAAGAAGCACCTCAGACCCCGCGGGAATAACGCCACTGCCGAACTTGGAGTGATCTGCAAAGAAAAGAGGTACAGTCTGGACTAAGCAGCTATCCCCTTTGACACCTACTGTACTTGAAGTCCGTTTGCAGCTTGCGCCCCACTATGGGCACGGGTGGATACAGCCTCAGCGACTCCTTGATGACACATTCCAAGTACTTGAGCTCGTTGAGATCGCGTATGGTGACGGGGCGACTGCGATCGGTGCCAATAACCTGGAGGATCTCCTCCAGCATTTTCTCCTGCACGTGGGGATGACGCGCCAGCACGTGCAGACAAAAGGACAGAGCACTGGTGGTGGTGTCGTGCCCCTCGAACATGAAGGTGTCCACCTCCTCGCGGATCTCGTCATTGGTCAGCGGCCGCCCATCGACGCTGGCCTGCAGCAGTACGTCGAGCAGCGCCATTCTCCGCTTTCTGCCCACATCATCATCGGGGGACATCGCACTCGGCTTGGCACGCTGCTGTTCATCGAGTGTGCGACGCCGCTCCGCGATCACCTTCGTTGTGAACTCGTGCATGGTGCGAATGAGCTGCGTCTGGCGCCATTTTAGGTGTGGGTGAGTCAGCGTGAAGAGCAGCTCCACCTGCAGGTAGGCGGACATGAAGCGCCAGCTGAGCAGCGCAGTGCATCTACAAAGAGAGTGAAATGAGTTCGGTTTCTGCTCCCTTTAGGGATGGATCGCTTACTCATTGACTGCCTCCGCATAGGGCGAGCTGTCCGCGGCCTGGGCATGGACTTTTGTGCCCATTGCCGTCTCCGCAATGATGTCCAGGGCTGCCTTGCAAATGTGCTGATAGACGTCAAAGGTCTGGCCATTGGCACGCGGCGCCAGCCGCTCCACACAGATGTTCGACTGCTGATCAAAGACCTCCACGAACTGCTCCAGTATCGAGAAGTGGAAGGTGGGCGTTATTATCTTGCGGCGTTGATGCCACACCTTGCCGTCGCTCAGCAGCAGCCCATTGCCCAGCCACTGGCCGAGGACGCGGTACACGGGATGCTTCACCAGATGCTCCTGGCTGCCCAGCAGCTGCTCGTTGATCTCCGGATCGGCGCTCATGATTAGCAGGCGGTTCAGAATCCACACTCGCTGCAGGTTGCCATATTTGCCCATATGCTCACGGCTCACCTTGAGGAAGGCTGCGGAACAAACAAATTGATAAGAACTCTGTTCTTCATAAATAACAATTTATTAATAGATATGCATATGTGTTCCACTGTTCCACCTAGAACCTGATCATCGGGGGGTACAAACTAAAACTGAATGAATATCTGATAAGCTAGCGTGTGGCCTCAAGTGTTTATTAACAACAGAAAATACCATTTAATCTGCATGGAAAATAAACACTATTATTAACTCACGATTAAATGCTTTCTTTATCAAGCAATTGGTTTATATTGTGGTTCATCTTTATGGTTTTAGGTGCATTGACAATGGGATAATCCACTGTTTGCAACGGGTGCTAATTCTGTGGCTTAATTTGTGTCGGCCATTTATTCAAAGAATTGCGCAGAAGAATTATTACTGTAAATCTCTGTACTGCGCTCGCAGGTAGAATGCGAGCTCCAAAGAGAGACGGCAATTGCACGAGCATCGCATCGCTTCTTGTTTACAGTTAATGAGAGCCAAAGCTCTGCTCAGCTCGCTTAAAACAGAGAGAGCAAACAAATCGATTGCACGCGAAGCACACTATGCAGCAAAGCATCTGATGTCTCTCGCTCTCTTGCAAGTAATATATGTATGCATAAATTACAAATGCACTAGCTTTGTGGGCTAGTGTAAATTGCTGTTTGCGCTTGCGTGCATCAAATGATGCGAAATCGACGGGAGAATTCGGATAGAATAGAGTGAACCTTAATCTGCGATCTCGACAACACTGACACAGCCGGAAAATGATTATTTATCCTTTAATGAGGGTTTTCCAATGGGCAATTAAATTGTATTAGATATTCCTGCCGGTCACGATTTGTGTGTCGAATTAGTTCAAGTTTTGGTTCACTCTTCACAGAACTTTTTACATACTCTTTGGATTCATGCGGTACAAGATATGCAGGGCGCCCAGCAATGGCGGGCATATGGGTCCAGGCAGATTAGCCACGGCTCGGCGACGCTCCGCCTGGCCGCGATGGATGAGCCAGCCAGCGGCCACCAGCAGTATAACCAGCAGCAACAGCAGCATTTTGCACTCTGATTCGCACTCTGCAAGGCTCTCCAACGACAACGCCCCAAGTGCGAGTGATACTGCGAGAAAATCTATCTAATCGCAGGCCGATTCGAATGTAAAACAAAGTGCATGCCACTCAGTCGCGAGCCGATAATTGAGCGACACTTGTGCTAATCAGACCGGGACTAGTACGAGTAAGTGTCTAAGGCAAGTGTACGTAAATGCGATTACTTCTATTAATTATTCTCGATTCCAGTGGCGGACTGACTGAGATAACGAGGCATCCATTCGCCCGAGGCTCATTGGAGCCCCAGGAGTCGTGAACTTTTTTTTGAAGTAATTTCCGCTAGAGACATTCGTGCGGAAATTAAAACATTTGCGCTGACCTGAGCACCAGCAGGGTGCCGGGAGGGTGGCAAGGGTCGCGGCAAATGGATGGATGGGTGTACGATTGGATGGATGGACGGTCAGCAGCCTTCGAAAAAACTAATTAACAGCAGCTTCCTGGGCCCATGCCTGACTTTGACTTTTATAGTATTATTTTTTAACAAAAATACTCGCACAGCCAGGCTATAACTGTGCCTGTCTGTCTGTCGAGTTGAAAGCTGGCAAAGGAGCGGGCGGATGGTCGAAAATTCTTTTCATTTGTAGACAGAATTGTGCATTTTCAATTTTCACAATGACTTTTATAATATAAAAACCAAAAGGGGATGGGAACATCCATCTCGCATTACCCATTCGTTTCGGTATTCGGATTGGGTCTCGATTTCTGTTGCTGCCGCGGACTGAAAGACTTTCTGCATTAATTTTGCATATTAAAAATCCAATTTGTAGCATTAATTGCAGCATGTGAAATGTGCGGACAATGCGAGGGATGTGTGTGCAGTCAGAGCAGTCCAAAGTTGCTGGTTGGGGGAGAAAAAAAGAAACTCAAAGAACTCCCCAGCGACTCCAATGGATGATGTCTGTGTGCAGTCCCGAATTGTATACAGATTTCTGAGCTTAAAGTTGCGCGAATTCCACAGTAAAAAGAACACCCAAATCTTTGTTTATATTTCAACTAAATTTACTTATGGATATTTCTTGTTTTCGACACGCAATGCAATCGTTATGCATTCCACGAGTCATTTGAAACCAGTTTCACAGCTCTCGCACATCGTTCAGTTTATAGCTAAACAAAATGATAAAAAACTTGTTGAAATGATTCAACCAATTAAATGCTGGGCCACGTATGCCAAAAGTGTGCTCAGCAAACCCCTCAAAACTAGGACATTGTAGTCCCGACTGCTTGGTGCCTTATTGCTGGCAGTTACTCTTGGAACACGCGGAATTAATCTCCCTGGGGGATACTTTTCAATGGCCTTCTCAGCCAGCGCTCGTATGCCCACCCAGCTCTCTGCTGCCAGTCTGTGTATTTCCGTGGGTGGTGGAAAAAATTTGTACTCCAAGCCGTGGGCCAGGCCCGACATCTCAAACACAAAGGACAGTGGAAAGCCGACCTTGAAGGCGTAATCCAGACTGGTGCCGCCCATCTCTCCGCCGTAGTAAAAGGCCTGCAGGGACTTGATCACCGTCGAAGTTTCCGCGTATATCCTGTTGGTGGCGTAGCGCGCAATCTCCTGCATCTCCAGATGATTGCTGGTCGGGGTGGAGTCGTGCACCCACGGATAGAACATCGATCGATTGGCCGTGTGCAGGGACAGGTACATGACGCCACTGCCATTGTCCACCAACTCGTGCATTGTGTCCCGCACGAGTCGGGCTTCTGCCTCCGAGAAGGCTTCACTGCCGGCGTAGGATTCGCTGCAGGGATCTGCCAGCTCCGCGTATCCCTGGCCCCAGGCCACATCAAAGTTTCGATTCAAATTCGTTCCGTAACACTCTGCGCCATTCGGGGAGCGCGTGTTGCGCCACCACCGGTCCGAGTTGCGGGAGTACTCGTAGCCATCCGGATTGCCCAGCGGCAGCACGATCCAGTTGAAGTTCCGCAGCAGATCGGAGTTCTGCTTGAAGTTAACAACCAGCTCCTGAATGGCATAGAGCGCAGCCATCGGCGTCATCCATTCTCTGGAGTGCAGTGCCGCATCCATGAAGATCGTCCGCTTGCCAGGCAACCGATCGCCATTCGTGATGGTTATTGTCTTCAACATGCGACGCTCATAACTGCGTCCTGCATCCTTGACCAGCACACGTTGTGGGTACTGCTTTGCGAGGCTGTCCAAGTAATCCATGACCCCCTCGTATGTGTAGTAATCGCTCAGATAGAGTTCAGTCAGCGCCGCGGGTGCGACGCACGAGACGAGCAAGACTATCGCACACAGAGCTGGCATGTTTCCAGAAAGCAACCAGCTGCACCACTGGCTCTGCCCTCGATCAACGCTGTGCTATATATAGAGAAGGGAGATCTCTGTGTTAGAGATTACAGTGCCAAGATAAGGCTCTTCCCCGATTTAATACGAACTGAATTATCTGTTCAGTGAGTCAAATTCACAACAAATCTGTGCGTACTCCTCATTCTGATGTTATTTTTGCAATATATAAACATAATTTGATACTGGTCACGCGCTCTCCGCTATTAACAAATGATTAGAGAGGGTTTGAGAGGCTTTAAGAGAGAACTGATCACTGATCACTGGCACTACTTCAACATTGCTGCGGCACACAGACTCGCCAGCAGAGCAGCGAGACTCCAACTCGCCAGCACAGACCGAGAGGCATCATTCGTTGCTGCACCAGCACTCGTCGTACTGGCGTATTTTGCAGCTGGACTACTCGTTGTGACACCCAGCCAACCCTCGCTGGCCTGAGTGTAGATGAAAGTCGCTTTGTCCTCAGCCCCCGATAGAGTTTCGGGCAGCTCAAAGGAGAAGGCCCGTTCAGTCTGGTGCCATACTGTCCGCCGTTCGTGGAGCGATTCTTCTTCCAGAGCTTCAGCTCGTAGCCATCGGGATTGACCATGGGCAGAATGTACCAATCGAAGGCATTCAACAGTTTGACATTCGGAACTGAATTCATGACCAGTTCGTTGATAACCTTGAGGGCCACCATTGTGGTTATCCACTCGTTGCCATGTGTGGCAGCATCCACAATGATGACCTCTTTATTTGCCGTCTCCTGCTCCTGCTCACATTCTTCCAGCTATAAAAAGATCCTCAACGCTGCGGATTCATCCACGTTGCAGCCACGCAAATTGAGTTAACATTTTCCTTGGGTCTTGCGGAATTTTCTTGCATTCTTATCTCCGGTTTAGGGCGGTTTAAAAGGCCATTAAAAAATGTAATTATGTTGATAAATGTACATCTTACTGTGCAGTTTTTTGCCGACTTTCCTTTGGGCTGACATCCTGCCTGAGGGGGCAGCAAACTTTAGTCGCAACAACTAAACAAAAACAGCAACTAACGCGGCACGGCCTCGGCCTGCTTTCTGCAGCTCTTGGTTTTCGCTCTTTGCGGCTGTTTCAACTTTTGAGCCAAGGGACAGGCAAATATTTTATCATTGCGCCTTTTAGCCACTCAAGTGGCGGACAAAAGTGCAGGGGCCCGGACCATTGCATTTAAGCGGAGTTTATGGCTTCATTTTCAAGCAGTTTTTTGCGAGGGTTGGCTGGCTGTATAATCATTTTGGCCATTACTTTGATGGCTTTGAGCTAATGAAGCTATCATTTATGCATGTGGCACAAAAACTTGACTATTGACTCCGCTGTGGGTAGGATTCTTCCTTTGGTTTTCCTTCGTTTTGCAAAATTAATGAGGCTGCAAAAATGTGATTTCAATTTGAAGATTACGCCACTCGAACAGGTGCATAATTTAGGAGCAGGGACAGGGACTGCTGCAAGGAAAAATCGTATTCGTTCATAAGCTCTGCCAGTCGATGGCAGCATTCCGATTCCTGCTCTGTTCCTGCTCCTTGGCCATGCGAGTCACGTAGCAACCGATGTCCGATTTTGAAGTTTGCGCTGCACAAATCACGTGCCCCAGCACCAGCACGGACCTCAGCTAATGTCCTACTTGGGGCTATTTGTAGTGCACTTTGTGTGGATTTTTTTATGATTTGTTTACGCTGCAGCCAGAACGTGGAGACGATAAGCACGGAGCAGCCGGAAAACAAGCGCAGGACTTCGTGAAAAGATTCCCAACATTTACATCTCAGATATGTCGTGGCATGAGGACAAAAACCTATCAGCATTACGATCTATTAGATGCATTTCTCGTTACCTTTTGAAAGCTGCTTTTGAAAGGTAAATTACTTCAAACCAAACTCCACCATCAGCCTGTCTATATTCATGTGTAGCTGCGGGTTGAGATGCTCTCTTGGGATAAGCATTTCAATTAGTTTGAAATGAAGGATGGAAAAGCAACTTTGAGGACAGTTTGAGAGTAGAACTTGGGCACAAATTAGGGAGAAATCTTTACCGAATTACTTGCAACAAATGATTTAATTCATAAAATTAAAATAACAATTTAAAGATGAGAGGTGAATGCCCTTAGAATCCCCAATGTGTGCCAAAGCCATCGAAGCTCATGTGGGAAACGGACTCCGCTGGCGAGTAGTGGATGACAGCGGGCTGATGGCTGACCACAGGAGTAGCTGACTGATGGTAAACAGAGGCCTGAGGAGCAGCCTGATGGTAGAGTGCAGCCTGTGGAGCTGAGTAAACTGCCGCCTGAGGTGCTGCCTGTGTGAACAGCTGTGGCTCCGGGTGTGCGTGATGATTGTAGACCGCCGCTGCCGCTGGCTCGGCCTGGTGGTACGTCACAGTCTTGGCAATGGCCGGCTGATACACATTGTTGCTGATCCTCGTGTCCTGCTTGTGCACCTGGGCGTAGGGTGTGGCCACGGACTTGGCATAGTGCGAGACGGTGCCATCGAAGCTGCGCACCACATTCTGCTGGGTGTGGGCCACCGCGTGCTCATCGCCGTAGTGGCTGAGGGAAGGCTGGGCAATGATGCCGGCCCAGGTGGGCGACAGGAGCAGCAGCAGCAGCAGGCCTGAGGCGAATGTGAGCAACTGTTTGGCCATGCTGTAGCTGTGGGATATCTGTAGCAACTGTTGTCATTTGTGTACGCCGCTGGGGCATATATAGAAGAAATGGCAGGCCCACAGCAATTACTCATAATTGAACCGCCCGCGCTGCGGCCTAAACCCGTTTGGACTGTGGGCTTTTGGGCTTTTTCTGCGTGACTTTCAGAAATCCATTTCTCGATCTCTTGATCGTGGCAAATCAATTTAGCCACTGACAGGCACAGCCATGGACTCTCACAGCAAAGTGTGGCTGTGGCTGTGTAGAAGGGCGTGTCGTCGACCCAATTACCTAAAATTCACCTCTTTGCCTAGGCATTGCATAATAATGGCAGGGCAGGCTCGGCGCACTTGCTCCACATACCACGGCTGGACACTCCAATGGCAAAGGCGAGGCGACTCCGACTCCGACTCCGACTCTGGCGATGGTGAAGAAGCTGCTGAACTCACCGCTGAAGGGCCATCAAGTGCATGCCTCAGCCCGAAACAGACACACAATTTATGGGCCATTGGAGATGCATTAACGACGCTGCCAAATTGTTAATGCATTTTCCGTTTGCCTTTCGACAGACACAACAATGTAGCAGAATTAAGCAACATTTGGCCATTTATTCTCCAGCAAGCAGTTCGATTTTTGCCTTAACTTCTGCTCCTGCCCAAGGTTTGCTGCTTCAGCCCCACAGTCATGAGTCATAATGCAATTGGCAAATGTCAAGAAAATGTTGTTAAGCGACAAAAGACACGGACACGGAAAATGAAAGGCAGAGCGACAAAGATGGATGTTTGCCAGGCGGAAAACTTGTTCGCAAATGAAAATGACACACAAATAGCATCGAGAACTCGATGCTCACATCAAATGCGATTACGATAACATCGATGCCCCGAGTCCTAGTCCGAGTCCGAGTCCGAGTCACCTTTGTTGGGCTTCCTGTATGCTGGGGGGCAGTGTGTGTGTCCTCTGTGTCCCATGTCCATTATGTGGCTTATGAAATTTGGCACATAAATTGTATTATTGCATTTAAGCTTGATTTTATTTGCTTCGTGCTTTGGTTCTTTGACTTTGCCATTTGAGGAAATGTTTCAGAGAAATAACTTCGGTCCCTTTTTTGACTTTCTTTGTTGACTCCTTTAAGTGGATTCGTCTTCGTTTACGTCTTGGGTCTGCATTGTACGAGTTGTCGTCTGCCTTAATGTTTATTGAACAGAAGGGAAACACACACGTGAGTGGAACCGGCAACATTTGAACGGTTTCCTTTTACTTCAATTAGCTGCATTTGGCCTTTCGCCCTGTACACCCCGCCGATATACAATTACAAATGAGGCGTCATGGCCAGGCCGAAAGTCAATTACAACTGGCTGAAAGGAGCATTAAAGCCCGCGCCTCGTTTGGCTAATTGGCAACTGAAAACATAAATTAAGCGTACGAAGAGAGAGAGAATGCAACTACAACTTTACGACTTCCACTTCTTCACGTAACACTTTTTACGTTCTTGTCGTAATGGCCACGAGTAGTGTTGCCAACACACACCACACACTCGGAATGTTGCATCCACATTGACAGCTTAGATTAAGTGTGGACCATAAATTGGTTTTGGTTTTGGTTTGGGTTTGGGTTTGGTTTGGCAATTGCCATTTGGCCAAGAAAGGAAATTATTTGCTGGTAATTACAGGAAATGCGGAAATGTTCTTCGTGTGAGGAAACCATCGAAATTCTTTCACTCTTTCACTTAAAGTCATAATTCCCAGTGGATTTTTAGCACTTTCACTACCCATCTTTATATGGCAATCTAATATTAATTTCTGCCACTACTTTTCCCACTCTCTGCCACGCCATGTGGCAGGTTAAGCGCCTCTATGGAGCTCTCTTGTCTGGTGTTGTATTGCCAATCAGCTGCTGGCCTCCCTCCGCCACACACACACAAAGAGATTTCATCTCGTGTGCCCTGCCGCCTTCGGGGCCTTCGTTCTGCTTTATGGCACAAAGGGGACTTGGCTTCAATTTTCTTTATATTACAGCTTGATTTAATTTGACGTGAGACCAGCGCTGCCCACGTTGCTTGGCTTGTACTTGACCAGAAACGAAATTAGAAATGGCAACAAATGCAAGCCGGAGGGAGGAGGAAGGACTGAAGTTGAAGCTCAAACCGATAAAGCAAGTTGAAGCTTGCAATAGAAAATGATTGCAGGCGGGGAAATTCAAATGTTCGCTCAATGAAAATATGAACAATTGAAGAAAAGCAAATGTCATTTGCCAGCTGCCAGCTGCCAGAACCTGGCCCCAGATCCCCACCCGATTGATATAATTTCATTAAGCGTACACAATCCAAGGGCTTTCCATTCAATGTCACGCCCACAGGACAAACTTTACTGAAATGAAAAATAACGAAAAATACTTGCTAAATAACAAATGGAAATGGAAAACGAGTGGGAAGTACCCGCGAACAACAAAATACAAAAACAAAAAAGCAAAGAAAATGATAATGAAAATGAAAATGCATAAACAGCAATAGCCAACAGGATGAGGTGGGGAAATGGGTGCAGAAGAGGGATGTGGTGCTTAGAAGTCGGACTCTGGCCTCGCCTGGCCTGGCCTCTGTGTTGGGTGGGAAAACTCATTAAAACTTTTTTACAGCCCATTTAAAAGCAATTTGTAAATTGTGAAACTTGGCCCAAACCCAGGGGCTGAGTATAAATTGTAATAATTATTACTACAGCTATGCGTAGCACTCACATTTCAAATAGCACACTTTTAGCATGTTGCCGATTATTCATATTTCAATCAATCGTTTGTATGCAAGTTGATCTGTCCATCAATGGCGGCAAATTCCAATCTGCAATTAGGAATTGGTTCATTTTTTTAGGGCAAACAAAAATTAAAACCCTTTTTAGATAGGGATAGCAGCAGTCATCAAACAGAATTAATTCCTGCAGCCAGTGTGCTTAACTAACCCTATTCCTAACCCTACAAATTATAACTATTATAATAGTGTTTGGGCACACAAAACTGCTAATATTTATTTTAAATTTATACACATAATTGCGCTTCTCAACACTTAAACAAAAAAGTAACACGTTCATCAGTACTGATTACACACACAAGCACACACACTTCTAACTGCAAATCACAGTGCCTGGGCAGAAGCTTCTTGTCATTTTTGTTTTGGCAGTTCAGTGAGTAAGGAGTTTTACTTTAAAACGTTGGAAAATTCATTTTGTGCTGAGATATACATATATTACACAAAGCACTTTCAAGATATCCGCGCAATATAGTGAAAAACAACGAGAAAAACTTTCACAAGTTCGTGTTTTGTTTTTTCTGGTCGCCGATCGGTTGGCTGTGCGGTTAATTTTTTGGATTAAGATTCTGCCAGGTAAGTCGCGAGCAACGGAGAAGAGCGTGGCCTAAGCAAAATGGCGGCAGCACAACAAAAATGCGGCGAATAGAGTGTAAACTTACACTAATTCAATTCCATTGCATAATCACAAGCGGCGTGGCACACACACAAACAAACGCGAACACCTATGCAGCCTCGCACTGCTTAGAGCTTCTTTCTAACCAACAAATATTTCAATGGTGCCTTTAAAAAAATGTGCATCGGCATTCCAGCATCTTCCCAGGGTCACCCACTCAACAAGCTGCCAGGACAGAGCACATTTCCGTGGCAGCTCCTCCCGCGCCAGAACAAGGGAGAGGGCTCGGGCTCGGCCCAATCATTTTGAGACCGTGGAAAGGCTCACAATCGCAGACATTAAATCAAATTTCCGCACATTTCTTGCAACGTGGGTTATGGTACCGTAAATTGTGTTAGCTTGCGGTTTGCTTTACCCCTCTCCACCGTCTTGCTGGCGCTGCCGCAGCGCCACTTAAATATTCAAAGCGAAAAGTTCCACCACACCTTTGCGTCTTGGCGCTGACTTTCCCCCGTTTTCCATTTCTTTATTATTCAAGCGCCGCTTCCGTGTGCAGTGCCCAAATATTCCCACAGGATGCAGTCAAAGGCAGCTTGATCTGAAGGGTGTAGCTCTGGTGGTTCATGGGAATTCAATTGGGGAAGGGGTGGACTACACATGTGTGCGTGTGTGTGTCTGTCTGAATGTGTGCCGTACCTTCTACGATTTTATGGACTTCAGCCGCAGTTAACTTGTACGAATGTGCTCGTTTGGGAAAACAAAGTAGCTCCTTTTGGAGCTCGGGTATTTTAGCTAATTCAAGTTGTTAAAGTCCAGAACACATTGCGATTTAGTTTAAACCCAACGGCTAAGAAAATTGCCAGACCGACGGAATTGCTACGACGCGACTTAATCGCATATGACAACAGTGCACTCGATGTTCTCTATCGATATTTCGGGCAAAGAGTAGACGAACTTTTTACTTGGAAAGAGACATAAAAGTGTATATTAGCACTGTAATTTTGATCATATATCCCACAAAAATATCCACATACATAAACATATATCAAGCGGTCTTTACCGGCATTCATAACGACGACCTTGTTTAGGTCACACACCTTGATATTGTTAATATTAGTATTTTTGAGTATTTTATTTCCAGTATTTTTAATGACGCGTTATGCGTCACCCGCTTGCTCAATGCCAAAAAGTAGAAATTGCATTTACAGCCATTTATATCCCAGGATACAAAGAATACTATTTCCTGATCGGCATACAATTTCTGTTCGTTTGGTTTTAAAATCTTAACACGGCCGCCGCTTGTCAATATTTCCTCGTCAGGTGCCGCTTTTTCTAATTACACAAATACGTAGTTAATATGTAGCAAATGTAGTGTAGTGTAGTTCGCTGGCCATTTATCGATGCAGCAGCTGGCTGGCTGAATATCGTAATGTTACTTGTAACAACAACTGGAGAACCAAATTTTAACAATAAATAAATAAATATTTCGTCATACAAATGTTCACAGTTGTGTAAACTTTGGGTGCGTAAACAAACGAGAAAGTCAGCAAACGCGAAGCGAGGAGCAAAGGTAAAACGATAAAACTGCC